TCGCCAGTATAAGTTTGCTCTTTGCCAATACAGTTTTTACCGTAGATGAGCGCTCATTTGTACCCCTCCTTCCCCCTCCATATCCGCCCTGAAGCCCTCCAATGTTTCCAAATAAAGTGATACCATCTCTTTAATTAAGGGCGCTCAAAGGATTAGGGCTGGGCGAGGTATTACTGTTGTATGATTACTGTGGTGTGGCATGTGTAGCATACATAACAAGTGTCTACGTAATGATTCTCGTTGGCACTCCGATAACACACAGTCTAGGATAACTCAACAACTATGAATCTAAAGCATCATAATGTTATGTCTACATGCTGGCTAACATACGTTAACCTGTTATGCTCCGCATTCTCCGAGTAGTTCCTAGCGTCTCTCCACAACACAGTCTCATCTCGCTGCCGATCCGGACTCTCGAGCTAACCGCCTCGGTCGCTGACAAACCGTCACTCTAGGACCAGCAGTCAGAATGAACAAGCTCCATTTATCTTACCCAGCTGGGCCGCCATTTCTATAGCTCAGTAACAGGCTATTTCACATTGGTTGACGGGGAACATCTTAACCCTTAAGGCCCCAAACAGCCAGTCAGCCACACAGGAGGAATTCTATGATGACAGGCTGGACTCCAAAATCTGAGTCCCATCAACACACAAGTGATAGCTCGACATCTACGACTCACACTCACTGCCTCGTCAGTGGAATCGGTTGTCTTGTTTCCATAGCCCGACATCTACGACTCACACTCACTGCCTCGTCAGTGGAATCAGGTGTCTTGTTTCCATAGCCCGACATCTACGACTCACACTCACTGCCTCGTCAGTGGAATCGGTTGTCTTGTTTCCATAGCCCGACATCTGCGACTCACACTCACTGCCTCGTCAGTGGAATCAGTTGTCTTGTTTCCATAGCCCGACATCTACGACTCACACTCACTGTCTCGTCAGTGGAATCGGTTGTCTTGTTTCCATAGCCCGACATCTGCGACTCACACTCACTGCCTCGTCAGTGGAATCGGTTGTCTTGTTTCCATAGCCCGACATCTACGACTCACACTCACTGCCTCGTCAGTGGAATCGGTTGTCTTGTTTCCATAGCCCGACATCTGCGACTCACACTCACTGCCTCGTCAGTGGAATCGGTTGTCTTGTTTCCCCAGTGAACGCCAACAAGCGTCTTCATCCAAGACAAGCTCTCTGAACACAGTTCTCAAAACTCTGCCCACTTGCCATAGTATATAGATGCCTGATTCCTCTGTGAGTTCTCTGTGAGTTCTCTGTGAGTTTTCTGTGAGTTCTCTGTGAGTTCTCTGTGAGTTTTCTGTGAGTTCTCTGTGAGTTCTCTGTGAGTTCTCTGTGAGTTTTCTGTGTTTTCTGTGAGTTCTCTGTGAGTTCTCTGTGAGTTCTCTGTGAGTTTTTTGTGAGTTCTCTGTGAGTTCTCTGTGAGTTCTCTGTGAGTTCTCTGTGAGTTCTCTGTGAGTTCTCTGTGTGTTCTCTATGAGTTCTCTGTGAGTTTTCTGTGAGTTCTCTGTGAGTTCTCTGTGAGTTTTCTGTATGTTCTCTGTGAGTTTTCTGTGAGTTCTCTGTGATACTTGACACGCTCACATGTATTTAGTTTGTAACTCTCTTTCCTCATATCTTCGTGCCGCAGTCTAGTTCGGCACGAACTTGGTATGAATGTTTACCCAGGCCACGTGCCACCTCGTGAGTTTCCTGTCCAACGAGGTAACTGTTTGATTGGAGGGTGAGATTGTTGGCATGATCCAGGTGGCAGTAGATGCATCAGCTGTCACTCGTGAGTGAAGAGGTTAAATACAAATAATTTGATGAAGGAAGCATTCAAAAAGGAAAGAACTGAGAAGTAAAAATCAATTCGCACCTGTGTCTTCTCTAGTGAAACAGTCAAACCTGAACCGATTACTTAACTGTCCTTGACTACCTCTGCAAATCTATGGAGGCACGTTGATATGATACTACATCTGTGTTGTGGAAAACAGTAGCTACATTTTGGCGGTGTAAAGGAGGGGGGGGGGTGCCTATTATAGAGGGGTCAGCTGAAAAACAACAAGTTTTAAAATCCCTGCTCAGAACACGTGGCTATGACCTGTTGATACTGCCTTCTGTGCTGCAAAGAGACTCATGTTTCTTGGCCACACAGACAGACATGGAAACACACAGATAGACATAGAAACACGCATACAGACATTAAAACACAGAGAAAGACATAGAAACACACAGACAGACATGGAAACACACAGACAGACATAGAAACACACACACAGACAGACATAGAAACACGCAGACAGACATTGAAACACAGAGAAAGACATAGAAACACACAGACAGAGATAGAAACACGCAGACAGACATAGAAACACGCAGACAGACATAGAAACACACAGAGAAAGACATAGAAACACACAGACAGACATAGAAACACGCAGACAGACATAGAAACACACAGAGAAAGACATAGAAATACCTAGACAGGCATGGAAACACGCAGACCGAGAGACTTAGTGTGGACAGACCGAAAGTATCGGAAATGGTTTTAACAGACATTGAGTACCAAGCTATGTTCTGTCTTCGCCAGTTTTTTTAACGAGTCATTCTAACAGTTGTCTTTTTCTTTCTTTTTCTGGGCAAGTTTTCTTCTCGGACCAAATATTTACCCATCATAACTACCTTGCTATTTTCAATAATTTGTACATACAATTATATATGGCCGACATTTATGAATAAATTTGTCGTTTGATTTTAATTGTCAGAATTACCTGGTCAACCCGGAAGTCTGTGCTCTCTGGCCAGATTTCTGCGAAAATGTGGCCATATTTTGTCGTCACTTGGCTGTTTAAATGTTGGTTACCTCAGACGGTAATTTGTACAGAAACATCGCAGAAAGCAACAATCAAGAATCTAATTGCACACTAACATGATAATTACTTGATAGAACAATCATCAACAAGAACCAGCTAGGAATAACTCATCCATGTTTGCTTTTTTTTATCGGCTCCTCTGCACTTGGTGGACTCTTCATGTGTGATAGAATTTGCTGTATGTTTAATATAATGTTTGTCTGTCTGTCTGTGTGCTAGTGTGTGGCATTCGTACCTCTACAAATGACCGTATGTTACCGTTTGTGTTGTGTTTGAGTATGCACGTACGTTTGTTTACTGTATGTGTGTGTGTTTGGGTATGTACGTGCGTTTGTTTACCGTATGTGTGTGTGTTTGGGTATGTAGGTAAGTTTGTTTACCGTATGTGTGTGTTTGGGTATGTACGTAAGTTTGTTAACAGTATGTGTGTGTGTGTTTAGGTATGCACGTAAGTTTGTTTACCGTATATGTGTGTGTTTGGGTATGCACGTAAGTTTGTTTACCGTATGTGTGTGTGTTTGGGTATGTACGTACGTTTGTTTACCGTTTGTGTGTGTGTTTGGGTATGTACGTGCGTTTGCTTACCGTATGTGAGTGTGTTTGGGTATGTACGTATGTTTGTTTACCGTATGTGTGTGTGTGTGTGTATGTGTTTGGGTATGTACGTGCGTTTGCTTACCGTATGTGAGTGTGTTTGGGTATGTACGTAGGTTTGTTTATCGTGTGTGTATGTGTGTTTGGGTATGCACGTACGTTTGTTTACCGTATGTGTTTGTGTGTTTGGGTATGTACGTGCGTGTGTTTACCGTATGTGTGTGTGTTTAGATATGCACGTACGTTTGTTTACCGTGTGTGTGTGTGTTTGGGTATGTACGTACGTTTGTTTACCGTGTGTGTGTGTGTGTGTTTAGGCGTGTACGTACGTTTGTTTACCGTATGTGTGTGTGTGTGTTTTGGTATGTACGTACGTTTGTTTACCGTATGTGTGTGTGTTTGGGTATGTATGTACGTTTGTTTACAGTATGTGGGTGTGTTTAGGTATGCACGTACGTTTGTTTATCATATGTGTGTGTGCTCCTGTGCCTGTCTGTACAGTGTCTGTGTATCTGTATCTTTTCATGTGACTTTGCTTGGCTGTCTCTCTCTCTCTCTCTCTCTCTATCTCTCTCTCTCTCTCTCTCTTTCTTTCTGTGTGGGTGTGTTTCTTTTAAGATAGTTTCTTCTCTGTGTCTGTCTGTCTTCATCTCTCTATGTCTCGCTCTCTCTCTATGTCTCTTTGTATCTCTCTCTGTGTGTGTGTTTCCCGCGCTATATTTCCTCCCTTTCCGCCTTTCCCCGCCTTTTTCCTTCTTAAGGTATCTGGATGGTTCTGTCTGTCTGTCTGTCTGTCTGTCAGTCTGTCTGTCTGTCTGTCTGTCTGTCTGTCTGTCTGTCTGTCTGTCTGTCTGTCTGTCTGTCTGTCTGTCTGTCTGTCTGTCTGTCTGTCTGTCTTCCTCCCACTATCTCTCAATGTTTCTCTCTATGTCTCTCTCTGTGTCTCTCTCTATGTCTCTCTCTATCTCTCTCTGTATGTTTCTCTCCATGTCTCTCTATGACTCTCTCTATCTCTCTCTGTTTGTGTTTCTGGCACTTTATTTATTATCTTGATGGTTCTGTCTGCCTGACTGTATGTTTGTGCCGTTGTCTTCAACAGGCCTGTCTCTCACGTGTCACTTTGACCTTCCAAAGTTCGTGAGTCTCATGTCACGTAGTCCCAATGTGGGTTCCAGGGTCTCATTTAGGTGGAGGGAGGCAGGGAGGCAGGGAAAGGGGGAGGAGGGGGGACAGATATGTATGTTATAGGGGACGACTAATTAGGGGATTTTCCTGCGAAGTCGGGGTGGATCTGCTTGAGAAATGAAGAGCCATCAGTCTGCATACACATAAGCTAGATCTGTAAAATGGATGTGCACGCAAAACCTAAGTTCTGGAACAAGACCAAAGTCCAGAAATGGACGAGCAACCAGAATTTTCTGTCAGGGTTTACAGGCGGTGAATGAGGGGAAGAAGAAGACTATCTGAAGTGTGTTCTGCGCCCACGTGCCTTCTGTAGAAGCGGCAGCTGACCAGTGAACTCTTGTGTCTACAGGAGGTCTGTTCGGCGACGGCGACGAGTTCAGCAGCATCGAGAACGCCTTCCGGTACGCGGTCTACCGGATCAACCATGACCGCGAACTACTGGCCAACTCCAGGCTGACCTACGACATCCAGTCACTTCCGGTCAGTGATGGTTTCGCTGCATCCAGAAAAGGTAAAACACTAGATGTGCTCTCTCTGTGTGTGTGTGTGTGTGTGTGTGTGTGTGTGTGTGTGTGTGTGTGTGTGAGTCTGTCCGTGTATGTGTGTGTAAGTATGTGTTAGTCTGTCCGTGGGTGTGTATGTGTGTGTGAGTCTGTCCGTGTGTGCGTGAGTGTATGTATGTGTGTGTTTGTGTGTGTGTGAGAGAGAGAGTCTGTTCCGTGTGTGTGTCTGCGTGCGTATATGTGCGTGCCTGATGGATAATTTAATGTAGAACAGGAGCCTGATAGATAATTTAATGAGGAACAACAGCCTGATGGATAATTTAATGTAGAACAGCAGCCTGATAGATAATTAATGAGGAACAACAGCCTGATGGATAATTTAATGTAGAACAGTAGCCTGATGGATAATTTAATGTAGAACAGCAGCCTGATAGATAATTTAATGAGGAACAACAGCCTGATGGATAATTTAATGTAGAACAGCAGCCTGATAGATAATTTAATGAGGAACAACAGCATGATGGATAATTTAATGTAGAACAGTAGCCTGATGGATAATTTAATGTAGAACAGCAGCCTGATAGATAATTTAATGAGGAACAACAGCCTGGTGGATAATTTAATGTAGAACAGCAGCCTGATAGATAATTTAATGTAGAACAGCAGCCTGATATATAATTTAATGTAGAACAACAGCCTGATAGATAATTTAATGTAGAACAACAGCCTGATGGATAATTTAATGTAGAACAGCAGCCTGATATATAATTTAATTTAGAACAACAGCCTGATAGATAATTTAATGTAGAACAACAGCCTGATGGATAATTTAATGTAGAACAACAGCCTGATGGATAATTTAATGTAGAACAGGAGCCTGATGGATAATTGATGTAGAACAAAAGACTGGTGGATAATTGAATGAAGAACAACAGCCTGATGGATAATTAAATGCAGAACATGGACAGTGGAAAGAAGAACAACATAAGGAAATATAACTGAATAAAGAAAAAAAAAGAATGATGGAAAACTAAATGAAGAACAGCACAGTGGGTTAGATGGATGATCAAATGATGTGGGAACAAAACAATGGACATTTTTATGTTGGTTAACTGATCAAGTAGATATCAAAATGATGGATAATTCATTGATTAAATTTATGATGTATAACGTGATTGTCAGTAACTAAATGATGATTAGCTTGGTGATGGATGGCAGAAAGATGTATACACTATATACAATAATCAAGGATAAATGAATGAAAGATAGTTGAGTTGCATACTGCAGAATAAATGACAATCGAAAGATAAATAGCACAATAATTGGTGATATACTGATGGTAATGTAAAAGGAATGATTAAACAGTAAAATAAAATACTATCGATCACGGTTTTGCTTCCATGTTACTTTATGGGGACCATGTGCGCATACACAGCCCCGCTCGCGCGCACTCATGAGTGCATAGACACACACACACACACACACACATACACACACACACTTACACAGTCACATGATAATGTGTGTGTTCAGTAGAGTGAGTTTATTTGAATATATCACCATTGCAAAATTAGACGCCATATATCTTTTTTAGAACAGCAACCCACGACTGTCCATCAAAGTACGTCCAGCAATATTTAGCATAGAGCTACCCTCAGCTCGTTGGTATCCACACCATACTACCCGAGCAGACATAGACACTGTCTCTGTAGCAACTTGAGCAGCATTGTGCCAGCATGGACCGCCGAGTGTCGATGGTTTGTAGACATCTTTCATTGCGCAGGGGAAACTAGGTTGTTTAACTGGTGGAAGCGAGCAGTAGGCAGAATATGGGGAAGCAGATGACAAAGTCAGCGATCTGTGTCTGACGGCTGCTTGTATCTGAAATACCCGTTGTTCTGACGTATAATGTTGATTCTCGATGAAATCCGGTCATGTGATGTGCCGATTGTTGCCTCACAGACACCCGCTTGCGCCTGCTCCTGCCATTCCTCATGCTCTGATCTTTCTGGCTGTCTTGCCCTTGTTTACTCTCTTTGCAGAAATCTAGTTAATCAAATGCTTGCACATGTTTCGCGTCTTACACTGAGAGGCGTGTGATTCACACAGAGACACAAGAGTCAATGAGTATCATACAAACCAACTTTGTTAAGAGGGAGCTCGCGCGACAACAGTACAGCTGTCTGGGAAACAACATTATGTATTTCTATAAATCACCAGAAAGTGTTTAGCAGGGTAAAGATGTATCAGCCAATGAGATGTTTCAGAGATCTAGAACAATGAGATGTTTCAGAGTTCTATAACAGTGAGATGTTTCAGAGATCTAGAACAATGAGATGTTTCAGAGATCTATAACAATGAGATGTTTCAGAGATCTAGAACAATGAGATGTTTCAGAGATCTAGAACAATGAGATGTTTCAGAGATCTAGAACAATGAGATGTTTCAGAGATCTAGAACAACGAGATGTTTCAGAGATCTAGAACAATGAGATGTTTCAGAGATCTAGAACAATGAGATGTTTCAGAGATCTAGAACAATGAGATGTTTCAGAGATCTAGAACAATCCGATGTTTCAGAGATCTAGAACAATGAGATGTTTCAGAGATCTAGAACAACGAGATGTTTCAGAGATCTACAACAATGAGATGTTTCAGAGATCTAGAACAATGAGATGTTTCAGAGATCTAGAACAATCCGATGTTTCAGAGATCTAGAACAATGAGATGTTTCAGAGATCTAGAACTACCTAAGGTGGACATTAGATTTATACGTAGTGCAAGTTAAATCTGTGACTGTTCACGACACAGTTCACTGATTACTGAGACAAGGACTCGTGCTACAATAGATTCATGTCTCTGGACACAGTCTACTGATTACTGAGACAGGGACTCGTGCTACAATAGATTCATGTCTCTGGACACAGTTCACTGATTACTCAGACAAGTACTCATGCTACAGTATATTCATGGCTCTGGACACAGTTCACTGATCACTGAGACAGGTACTCATGCTACAGTAGATTCATGGCTCTGGACACAGTTCACTGATCACTCAGACAAGTACTCATGCTACAGTATATTCATGGCTCTGACACAGTTCACTGATCACTGAGACAGAGACTTATGCTACAGTAGATTCATGGCTCTGACACAGTTCACTGATCACTGAGACAGGTACTCATGCTACAGTAGATTCATGGCTCTGGACACAGTTCACTGATCACTCAGACAAGTACTCATGCTACAGTATATTCATGGCTCTGACACAGTTCACTGATCACTGAGACAGAGACTTATGCTACAGTAGATTCATGGCTCTGGATACAGTTCGCTGATCACCGAGACAGGTACTCATGCTACAGTAGATTCATGGCTCTGGACACAGTTAACTGATCACTCAGACAGGTACTCATGCTACAGTAGATTCTTGGCTCTGGATACAGTTCGCTGATCACCGAGACAGGTACTCATGCTACAGTAGATTCATGGCTCTGGACACAGTTCACTGATCACTGAGAAAGGGACTCATGTTTCAGTAGATTCATGGCTCTGGACACAAGAAAAACATTCAACACATTCCGAGTGTACAGTTCCTATGGGCAGCAACCGATAGAGAGAAATTTACCTATCGAAGCGACGGACACCCTCCAGGCGCAGTTCCGGGCTGAAAGCAGTTTTCATTTGTTAACAAGAGATATTTTGACGTGACCAGTGGCAGTGACTCACTGGACATGGGCACTTGCCTGGTGGCAGTGACTGACTGGACATGCGCACTTGCCTGGGATATGAAGACAGAATCACCATTGATGCCAGTGAAGATAGCAAGCATAAAAAACAAAAACATCTATGTGTCCAAAACGGGAGTGTTGTATTGCAATATCGTAGAGGAAATGTAAGAGGTGCACTGTTCAGGCCTCAGAAATAGAAGAACACTCATTTATCACTCCAGTGACATTTCTGGCCCAGTTGAATGCGGTGTTTGTCTCTCAGACATTTGAGAAGTATTGCCCCTCGCCACTGGGTTCCAGATCTTGACCTCGGGGCGCCAATGTCTTTGTGAGACTGTGTGGGACTTGATACATCTATGTCGATTCAGGAAATACACGGCCAGCTTCCAACACCTCATCTGTAGGGCTTGCGTGAACCTGGTCATCTTCCATCATCTCAACTATTGGGAGGAAAGAGGAGATGCTGTCACCTTTCCTCACTGTACCTGTTGGGGTGTTGTCAATGACCTAGTGTACCCGTCACCTTTCCTCACTGTACCTGTTGGGGTGTTGTCAATGACCTAGTGTACCCGTCACCTTTCCTCACTGTACCTGTTGGGGTGTTGTCAATGACCTAGTGTACCCGTCACCTTGACTTGTGTGTAGGTTGAGTGCCGCGACATGGTCATGTACACTGTTTCACTGTAAGAATGTAAGGCAAGGGTTCAATGTTGCCAGCACACGATCATCATTAAAACTACTTTCCCACTGTGTCTCAGAGGTGCAGCCAAATTACTACACGCCCACATGAAGTCATTTAGGCAGCAATCACAAATGTTTCTGCTGTAACCACATATATTTAGTCAACAATCCCAGAAGCGCCGGCTATCACAGCAAGCATTTAGTCAATAATTTCGTGAATTGCTATAACAGCAAGCATTTAGTTAATAATTAATGAACGTCTGCTATAACAGCAAGTATTTATTTAATAATTAATGAACGTCTGCTATAACAGCAAGTATTTAATCAACAATCCCGTGAACGTCTGCTATAATGGCTAGTATTTAATCAACAATCCCGTGAACGTCTGCTATAACGGCAAGTATTTAGTTAATAATTAACGAACGTCTGCTATAACGGCAAGTATTTAATCAACAATCCCTTGAACGTCTGCTATAACGGCAAGTAGTTAGTCAACAATCCCGGGTATGTCCGCTAAAACAGCAAGTATGTAGTCAACAATCCCATGAACGTCGGCTTTTACGGCAAGTATATAGTCAACAATCCGGTGAACGTCTG